ACCCCCGGTGTTTTGTCTGTGTTTTGTCTGTGTTTTGTCTAAAAAACCTGGTGTTTCTGCATGAAACCATGATGATTTCTAGCCAGAAAAAGACACGAAGATTGATGCCGTTCATGGGGAGTGGAGGAAATTGGGCACAATGTGAGGCAAAAGGCAAGCAACAATGATGCGCGTTGAGCCAACAAAGCAAGGTTTGAACTTCATTCAGGGGACAGAACTTGTCGTTGAATTGCAAGGCTTTTGGAATTTGCGAAACAAAAAGCTTGGTACATCTTGGCACTGCTTGCTTTGATCATCCTAATTCATTAGGACTTCCCTTTTTTTCTGGCCAGGCGTTTCCTGAGATTTCCGAGTGGCAGGGTGGATCCCAGTATCAGCTGACCTACCTGCATGTGCCCACGTGAAATCATAAACATGATTTATGCATACATTTTCATAGTACTACAAATCAACAAAACACACCGCAGTCAGCTATTAACCAAGTCATTCCGGACATCACATTTTGGTTTTCTTTCCTGGTGCTATTTGCCTTGTATTTGCAACAGTTTGGAACTAGCACCTGTCATTTTTCATGGTATTTGCTACATTTTGCATGCTCACTGTGCATTTTGCATGGTATTTGCTGCATTTGGCCATGGTCGCCTTCCATTTTGCATGGTATTTGCCACATCTCATTTGCATGGTATTTGCTTCATTTTGATACTTCAATCGTTCATGTCGGTTTCTTGAGGGTTCTTTAGGCTTTCATGTAAGGTTTCTTCAGGGTTTCATTTAGGGCTTCATTTAGGGCATTTAGGGTTTCCTTTAGGGGTTTCTTTACGGTTTCATTTAAAATTTCATTTAGGGTTTCTTTAGGCTTAGTTTTTTTAAAGTTTCATGTAAGTTTTTTTACGGTTTCATGCAGGGTTTCTTATCGGGATGTCTAAACCTTCAAATATGTTTCTCTAAGGTTTCTTGAAAGTTTCATATAGGGTTTCACCTCGGGTTTCTTTAGGGTTTCGTTTAGGGTTTCATTTAGGGTTTCTTTAGGGTTTCAGTTAAGGTTTCATGTATGGTTTCATTTAGGGTTTCTTTCGGGTTTCAATTAGGTTTTTTTAGGGTTTCTCTACGGTTTCATTTAGGGTTTCTTGAAGATTTCATTTAGGGTTTCTTTGGGCTTTCAATTTAGGGTGTCATTTAGGGTTTCTTTGCGGTTTCATGCAAGAGTTTCTTATCAGGATTTCTTTTCACGATTTCTAAACGTTCAAGTGGGTTTCTTTCGGGTTTTAATTTAGGGTTTCATTTAGGGTTTCTTTAAGGTGTAAGTTTAGGGTTTCATTTCAGTTTTTTTTAAAGAGCGTCCTTTAGGGTTTCTTTAGGGTTTCTTTAGGATGTCATTGAGAGTGTCATTTAAAGCTTCTTTAGGCTGTTCGCCAACACAGGCGCCAAAACCAGAACACGAAACGCGAAGGGCCGGCCAGGCGGAGCCCGGGAAACCAAAGACTAAAATACTTACGCGAAACCACAAACACCTCAAACTTAAACATCAAACCACACCCAAATGACAAACTCAAATGAACAACCCTTGAAAATCTCTGAAGTGAAAATTGATGGTGGACATGACGGCTGTCAGTTAACGGAAGGTTGTGCTCACCCTTTTCTCTGCATTGGTTCGGTCTGAAGCTTGATTGTCATATCGGCCAACTGTTGTTGGCATCCAAAAAATTCTGACCAGGAGCTCTTCCGTTCAAGTTAGGCGAGAAATTCCTCCCCGTTGCACGCTGGTGTAGCGCAAAAGTCTGCTACTGCCTCCACTAACAAATTTGCGTCTTCGCAGGTCGCAATCAAATCCGCGTGGATTTCTTCTGAATAATTCGCCGCAATCCACTTCTTTAGAGTCACCAGTGATTGAAAACATGGTTCTACTAGGTGATGGTGTTGATTCCATGTAGTCATGGTCACCCGAGAAAGAGGTAAGCAGTGCAGAGGTAATGCCAAATGGACCGGAGCCTGAGCATCCACGTCAGGAAAGTATTGGGTCTCCATCGTCAGAAGTCCCTGAGTGTAGCACTGCCATATAAATGTAATAGATTGTAAGGACGGAGATTGTCCCACATGTTCCAGGATCGCCTTAAACAGCGATGCGATGTTCTCCACGTCGCCAATTCTGTCAGCTGAAGAATCCCATTCGACTTCCATATATGAAAGAAGCATTGATATGAAAGCAATCATCTTTGCCAGCTCTTGATCTGTGTATGCCATATAAGAGCACCTTGATTCGTCCCCAAAACTGGGGTGGGAAATGCCAATGGGTGGGCATCAAAAATACGGAGGCTAAAGCCGATAGGTCCCGAACAACTCAATTGGAATTCTTTGCAAAGGCCGTAGTCACTTCATTGCATCACAAGACAAACAGCGGACGACATCGAAGGAATGAAATTGTGCCAAAGTTCAAAACTGCCATCAAATAAATCTGAACATCTTGCCAACAAACTGAAAAACATGTGCAGAAACTCCCGCGGAAAATAACTGCCAAACAGAAACTTCCGCGCGCCAAAACTGACGCCAAATAAAGTGAAACCAAAAAGCAAAACGCGAGAACAAGGCACGGAAACAGACAAGAAGCGGGAAGAACGCAGGGGCAAAGCGCGAAGACACCCAACACACCAGCAACAACCCCAACAAGACGACAACCGGACAGGGGCACAGAAGAACCGCAGTGGAGGAAGACCGGGCCAAAGCCCCAGGAGAGCCAACCAACGAACCCCACCACCAGCCCAGGCGACATGTGCCGCAAACAGCCACCTAGCGCCAACACAAGCGCCAAAACCAGAACACGAAACGCGAAGGGGCCGGCCAAGCGGAGCCCGGGAAACCAAAGACTAAAATACTTACGCGAAACCACAAACACCTCAAACTTAAACATCAAACCACACCCAAATGACAAACTCAAATGAACAACCCTTGAAAATCTCTGAAGTGAAAATTGATGGTGGACATGACGGCTGTCAGTTAACGGAAGGTTGTGCTCACCCTTTTCTCTGCATTGGTTCGGTCTGATGCTTGATTGTCATATCGGCCAACTGTTGTTGGCATCCCAAAAAATCTGACCAGGAGCTCTTCCGTAAGTTAGGCGAGAAATTCCTCCCCTACGAAGCAAGCCCTTGCATCTCTGACACTGAAGCTGAAGCTGACTGATCCATTCACAACCTTCCTCCACATCTTTTGAACCTACCAATTTGATTTTTCAAAATCGCCAAGTTTCACGAGCTTCGAGTTGGCCTTGAGGGCTTCTCGATCCAAGTAGGTCTCGCGTTCCTCCCACAGCTTCCAAATCAAAGTGAAATCAAAGTCATCCCAGTTGCACAAAATCGCCGTTTGTCAAAGCATCAGCCAGGGCATTCTCATCCCTTGATCGCCATGCCAAGTGAATTAAGACTCCAACTTTCATTAACGCCTCAGTCAACTGCATGAAAACCAGGCAAAGCGGTCACTTTGTTGTCAGACCCCTGCGAATCAGATGCTCGTTAGCCAGGTTGTCTGTCCCAGCAGCGATCTTCAGCGGCGTGGCATCAACCGGGATGTTCCGGTCCACAACCAAACAAATGCACAGCCACCAGCACAGCCAGTAGTTCTGCTGTGGTCGACGCCCATTGGGATTCTCCGTTGTCCTTGAAGAGAAATGGTGCTTGGTGTGGAAGCACCTCCAAAGAAAACCATGCCCCCATCTCCAAATGGATTCCTCCAAGTACCACACGACCAGTCTCGCACTTCGCATCTGTTCTGAAAATCTCTCCAGCTGTGGTTCTCGGTCTCTTGCAAGTGTGCATGTATGTGCAGTCCTGCAGCTGGTCCTTCAGAAACCTTAGGACAAGAAAAACCAGGCGTGGTGCCGTTGCCACAGAACTGCGATCCAATGCTGCTGCCCATGAGTACAAAGGGGCCATAAACGGTTTGAGCCGCACCAAAACGCGTGAAACAAAGCCCATCCGTCCAACGAGTTCGTTCAATCGCCTCATCAAGACGACTCCTTTTGAGAGCTGCATCTCTTCCACAAAAGCAACCAACCACTCGCCACGTCGCTTGGTGATACCGATCAAACATTCTTGGTAATCCAGCAGATAGCCCAAAAACTGAACCTTCAACCCTCCAGAAAACTTCCCGTAGGAAAAGGGGGTGCCAAGTAGTTCGTAAATCAAAAGGGCCATCCAAAGGTTAAAGAACTTCCGGGCTCCCATGCACGTCAAATGAAGATCATCCGCATAGACCAGTTGCCACCATTTCTGCTGTTGCATGATGTACGCAGTCAACCGACTTATCCCAGCAAAGAGTCTGCTCCACCAGTATGACGCTGATGAAATTCCAAAAGTCCCAAGAAATTGATCCAGATTGTCTTGTCATCTGATCGAGCCTTGCAGCCCAGAAGGGGCCAATCATGCTTCCTAATCTTGACCAGCCTATGAGCTGATGATATATCTGCTGAGAGTGCAAACATGGCTTCTTGTTCCTCCTGCACATACCTCACCATGTAGGCAGCGTCTTCTGGGCCCGGATGCTGAAGTTGATCCTGGAAAACTATCTGGTTGTTCAGTTGCACAAAGTGGGTGCCATCGTGCAGTGGCCTTCCGTCTCCATTGGGCTTGCGGATAGCACACATCGCAGCCACAAGTGGTGTCCTTCCAGGGAAGCCCGCCTTCAAGCTGCCCAACGTGGTAGGTAACATTCTGCCCAACTGTTCCTCCTCTCTTTGTCCTCTCTGAACTTATTCTCCAAGTCGTCTGCCATTGCCTGCGCCGACTTGTAATTGTTTGCTGTTTGCCATGCTGCTGAACTCAGAATCGTCCAAGGGACGTGACTTCTCTTTCTTCGGGAACACCGCTGGGACCCTCGGAAGGGGGGCGCCATAACCCACGGGAACACCTGTCCAGAAAGAGTCTTCCGCTTCCACGTAGATTGCAAAGTCCGGGCCCCCAAGCACTTCCAGGGATTGCCCAATCATTCCCAAGAGAAAAGGCTGTCTCTCAGGCACTGTCAAAGCCATCCTCTTTGAAGGTAGAAAGGACGCCCATTGCTCTCAACGCATCCAGCTCCTCCCTTGTAAACGGTGAAGCCGCAATATGGCCAAGGCCCAGTCTGATCGCCTCCCTGCGGGGGTCTTCAAACTTTTGCTCGGTGAAAGAAGACAACATCTCAAAAATGGTTGTGCACAGCTCTCGTGCTTCAGCACCCAAATGAGCACCTCGGCAAGTTTGTTCCCAAAGTGTCGGAGAGCAGAGACCAAATCCGTCAACAAGCTCCCTCGTCTTTCCAGCCCACTCCAGCGAAACCTTTTGGCCTCGATGCCACCGCTGAATTTTTTCTGGATCTGTGCCAACCTGCTTGCCTGTGACCGTGTCATTGGTTGCCTGTGAAGGCTCTGTCCCTCAGCGCCTGGCTCCTTGTCTACTATGGTTGGTTTGCACATTTCAGATGCTTGCTCTTCTTCTGCTGTAATATGTTGACACAACTCAGAAGCTTGTCCCCCCCACTCGTGAGACGATGAGTTGTGCAAGCCATTTGCATAGTGGTGGTGGGTAGGCTGCTGAGTCAGCCGTCTTCCACTTCCCTTTTCCTTGCCAATTAATTTTCTGATATGGAACTTATGTGAGCAGGAATGTGGCAAAGGGCCTAAGTGGTTGCGAAGTTCATCAAACTGTGGCCAACCTTGGCAAGGAAAGGATTTTGCAAGTTGGAGGGATGTCACAAACCGTGTTGGTTTGGGTGACTGTGCGCCAAAATGGCATTGGTAAATTGCAAACGTTGTGGCCTGGTGAAAACCGTCCAGCTTCCGCATCTGTTCAAGTTGCCAAACACTTGCAGGGTGTTCTCCAGTCGATGTCACCCCAAAATCTTCCGGGTGTTCAACAAGGAAATCACACCCTATCTCCATGCAAACATCCATTGTAGTGAAACATTGAGTCAGGAGAAAGTTATGGTCATTTACCAATTGCTTGTTGTTTCCTGTAAGCCATGGAAAGCCCCATGGATGGTACACGTTGCGCACAGGCACTGGCCCCGGCGTTGCATGTGTGTTGCACCTTGCACGTGAACATGAATTGCAAGGCGGTGTCACAACCACCACATCATACTTTCCCTGACGTAGTTCATCCCAAATTTCCTCCCAAAGCTGTTGTTGCAAAAGGTCATCTGCTTCATTCCTTTCAATGCCAACCTCACGCATGTAAAACTCAAAGTTGTTCCAGCTGCCGAACAAATGCAAGAAATGCTTGATATCAGCCCTTCTTTGACGACCACAGAAAAGATACAACACCCTGAGCTGATGCGGGTGTTGGCGTGGTCTCTCATGTCACTCCTTTTTGCCGCCTTGGAGTTTGCTATGCTCCCTGGCGGCGTGGTCAGCATAGCATCCCTTTACCCTACAAACATGCACGCGCCCACACTTGCCGTTGCATCCCTGTGAGTTAAAGGCAAAGCAGATGTCTCGCCCATCGGGAGTTTGTGAGACCAAATTCAGGTCTCCGTGTTTTCCCTTCGGGCCACTGCTTTTGAAGCCCTTTCCATAGCCTTTGTTCTGCTGGAACTTGCCTTTCCCCTTTCCTTTGGGTCTCGGGCTCCAGTCGTAGTTCCCTTTCTGGGATGTCTTCTGAAACTTTGTGGGCGGCTCCGAAGCTGTCAATGCAAGTGGAGTCATGAAGTACGCTTCCTTGAGATCTGGATCTTTTGTCACTTTGATAAGTGCTTCGCCCAGCGTTGACTCACCCATGTTGACCAACTTGAAGGCCTCGCGTCTCAAGCGGTGTTCATACTGCAACACCAACGCCCAGCTGGGCTTGATCGCAACCTGTTGATTATCCACAGGGGGGGACCTTGATCGAGTTCACCCGATCTCCCAAGATGTAGTCAATGAACTTCTGGAAGTGCTCCATCTTGAGGTCTGAAAGCCAATGTTTAGACTTGAACTTTGAAGCCATGCACAACCATGTGAATGCTTCCAACTTCAATGACTGCCTGTATTCCTCCGTGTTGCTAGGACGTGATCCCTTGGTCTTGTTTTTAACAACCCGCACATGTCCAGCTGTTTCCAGTGAGGTCTGCAATGACGAAGTGTTCTTATGTGCCTTGCTGGTCACCTCATCAAGCGATGAAGCCAGAATTTCACCGTTCTCGCACTCCTCCACCTTCACGGCCAAGTACTCTGAACTTGGAGCGTCATGTTCTGCCAACACTCCCACGGATGTCTCCACAGCCTTGAGCATGGCCAGGCGCTCACTATGTTGTAGGTTCCTTGGCAGCCCCATGACCTTGCTCTCAGCGTGTAGTTCTGTCTCCTTCTCATAAAGCTGCTTCCCAGCAGTCCATGCACTGGCTACTTTGGCCGTCTCCGCTCTTTGATCCGCCCCTGCATTGGGATCCACCTGGAAGTCAGTTCTCAGCGCTGTTCTGATGTCGGCAGTGTTCTCTGCAATGGCAATGAACACACGCAATGGCTTGTCGTGCTGAGCAAACCGATATTGCAAATCCAGGCTCACTTCAGAATCATCCCAAGTGTACTGAAGATCGGAAGTGACATTTCGCTGAATAATTTCACGCTTCCTAGCATCATCTAATGCCATTGCAACGATGCAGTGAGGTGACAAGAATGTTTTCTAAATCAAATGCAACACAGTGCAATCTAAAAGAAACGATCAGCGCCTAAGAGATGATTGAAACACTGAACCTGACAAGTAAAAGCACCTACGCACAACAAAGGGGGTCTGAATCTGAAACTGAATCGGTCGCGAGGTCTGAATCTGAAACTGAATCTGTTGTACAACTACGGATTGAAAAGCAATCCCTCTCCAAACAAATGCATCGGTCACGCAACACACTCAACATAAATCAGTGACAACTCCTCTCAAACTGACTCTGATGATTCCAATCAACTGACTAAAAGTGCAGGGCTGTTGGCACCGATTTTCAGGACAAATTCCAACAATGGAATTGTCCTGAAAAACTGTGCGTTGCACACGCTGCCGTGCACTGTTTTTCACACTAAACAACGCACTTAATCCAATGCCTCCTCTTGAGGTTCCGGCGCTCTATCGGATTCTGTCGAGGAAGAATCCCCTGATATCCCCTGTTGAACTTGAGCTGTCTGAGTCATGTTTCCCTTCTTCAATCTGAAGGCGCCGCTTGCAAATGCGACAAATCACATCAAAAGAGGTTTCATCAATGGAAGTGACGTCGAATGCATCCAAACATCTCTGTGAACGCACTGGGCACTTGAAATGTGCATGGAGTCTCCTGAGCCCTGTGCGCCGTGAAACCGTGACAAAATACTTGGTCAAGGTGTTGTCAACTGGATTGGGCAGTTCTGCAAGGATGTCATTGGGATTCAGCTCAGGTCCAATCCCTTCATCGTTTTCTGAGTCCGGTTCCTCAGGTGCAACTGTGCCTCCCGTCAAGGCCCTGACAACATCCAGCTGAACAGTTTCCACTACCTGTCTAGCAGTATGGATGTAGGCATTGCTGCCTGTCCTACCAATGGCTCAGCGACCTAAGTAGTCCCGTCGCTCCTTCGGGGTTCCCAATGCAAGTGCAGCCTGATTCAAAAAGTGTCTCGGGCTGTGTCCTGTCCAAAACAAGAGTAAATCCCCTGGAACAAGCAACATGGCCATGTTTGTTCTCCAAACTCCATCTTGAAACCTGGGTGAACCCAGCTTCCCGAGGACCATACGCATCAGGTTGGCCAAAGCTGGTGGCTCCACCAACTTGGGATAAAAGCCATCCCAAGCGTCGTTGTGAGCTGGCACCAAATAATCTCTGGGAAAAAGAAAACTTTCCAACCTTGTCAAATCCATTCCAGTTGCCAGCCAATCGTGACCAGTGAGTGAAACCTCCCGATGCACAAAAATAGGCAACTGTCCATGCAACTTTCCAGGCCTTGTTGTCTTGGTTTTTGCCAGCCTTGCTGTGAAGCCCCGCTTCGAAACCTTCAAGGTCTCGGGCAAAATGTTCTGAATGTCATCTACCCGAAGTGGAGTCTAACAAGCAACAAGCATTGTCCATGCAACGAACCTGAAATACAAATCCTGTTCAACATCCATAACAAACACTTCCAATGAGACCAGCACTTCAACTGTGTAAGGCTTCGCAGGCCGGGGTGCCCGCGCACTTGCTTCCAGTTCCAGTTTCCAACTCGACATGTGTGCAAGCCATGTAGCATCGTTTGAACAGCGTTTGTCTTCAGCAACCCGTCCAATTTGTTCTAGAATTGTCAAAGCAGCATGAAGTTCACTGGGACATGAGAAACTGCATCCCTCATCAATGCGTTCCTCCACATAGGCCACCAGTGGAGCAATAGTCTTAAGCCAAACCTCACCTGAGAAAGCAATGAACCAGCTACGAAATTTTTGCCAAGCTCTCAACCGGTTCCTCACGGTCTTCGACCCGCGACTCCCAAAGATGCGCACCCATGCTCGGTTGGGGTCTTGGAGAAGCTCCAACTGACATGTAACTGGTAAACAAGCCTCTTTAAGCACTTCAGCAAGTTGTAGTGCATAAATGTTTCTCTGTCCATTCTCCAACTCAGCACGCTGCAAACCTTTGCTATCACGTTTCCGTTTCAAACGCCTCCTTGCTAAATCCAGGACATACGTGGGACTGTCTCTGACGATTTCTTCAAATTCTTCCTGTATGGACTTACCATGCACATGACCAGGGTGATGAAGGTGGCTGAAACTATCTCAACAACGCAGTGCAATCGAACGTTCACAAGGCCTCTCCATAGACGCCGTCCACCTCAACATAACATGAATGCCTTCCTCACCTAGTGGTCCAAAGTCCAGTTCCCCATATATGTCCTGCAAAATGCCACGAACATCTTCTTCACCGGAAATTGCAAAATAAAGAAACCGGGCTCTCTGTAAATACGGTTTACAGCTTCCAGAAACTTAGTGCCGAGGCTTTCCAAGCCCTTCCAGTCCATTACGTCCCCATCGGGGATTGTGGGGCGCCCCAGGCTATCAAAAATACGGAGGCTAAAGCCGATAGGTCCCGAATATTCCCGAATAACTCAATTGGAATTCTTTGGAAAGGCCGTACTCACTTCATTGCATCACAAGACAAACAGCGGACGACATCGAAGGAATGAAATTGTGCCAAAGTTCAAAACTGCCATCAAATAAATCTGAACATCTTGCCAGCAAACTGAAAAACATGTGCAGAAACTCCCGCAGAAAATAGCTGCCAAACAGAAACTTCCGCGCGCCAAAACTGACGCCAAATAAAGTGAAACTAAAAAGCAAAACGCGAGAACAAGGCGCGGAAACCGACAAGAAGCGGGAAGAACGCAGGGGCAAAGCGCGAAGACACCCAACACACCAGCAACAACCCCAACAAGACGCCAACCGGACAGGGACACAGAAGAACTGCAGTGGAGGCAGACCGGGCCAAAGCCCCAGGAGAGCCAACCAATGACCCCCACCACCAGCCCAGGCGACATGTGCCGCAAACAGCCACCTAGGTAAACCTAAGGACCGTTTCATTTATGGTTTCTTTTGGGGTTCATTTAGAGTTTCATGCAGGGTTTCTTATCGGGATTTCTTATCAGGAATTCTTTAGGGTTTCTTTAGGTTTCACCTAGGGTCTCTCTAGGGCTTCATTTAGGATGCAAGCAGGAGAAAATAAAGCAAAAGAAAATGAAAAACAAAGAGACAATAAAAACAGGAAGCAGAGAAGCAGAGGAGCAGGAAGTAGAGGCAAAGACACATGACTGAATAACATAAAACGTATAATAGTAGAAGTAGAGAGGCACAGAAGCACAAAAGCAGAGAAGCAGGGAAAGCAGAGAAGCAACAAAAAGCAGAAAAGCAGAGAAGCAGAAAAAGCAGAGAAGCAGGAAAAGCAAAAAGCAGAAAAGCAGAGACGCAAAGAAGCAGAAAACCATGAAAGCAGAGAAACAATGAAAGCAGAGAAGTATATAGAAAAGCAGGAAAAGCAAAGAAGCAGAAAAGCAAAAAAACAGAGAAGCAGGAAAAACAAAAAGCAGAGAAGCAGAAAAGCAAGAAAAGCAAAAGGCAGAAAAGGAGAAAAGCAGAGAAGCAGGAAAAGCAAAGAAGCAAAGAAAGCAAAGAACCAGGAACCCGCCCAAAAAAAAACAAAACCGGCCTGCAGGCGTGTCTGATTGGAAGGTGCTGTTCTTGTTTCTGTTCTTGGCTTGTACTTGTTCCTTTGTTCTCTTGCTGCGCATTTTTGCTTCACTACTACTCACTACTACTCATACTCACTACTACTGACTACTACTCACTACTACTGACTACTACTGACTACTACTGACTACGACACTGACTACTGACTACGACTGACTACGACTGACTACGACTGACTACGACTGACTACGACTGACTACGACTGACTACGACTGACTACGACTGACTACGACTGACTACGACTGACTACGACTGACTACGACTGACTACGACTGACTACGACTGACTACGACTGACTACGACTGACTACGACTGACTACTACTGACTACTACTGACTACTACTGCTACTGCTACTGCTGCTACTACTACTGCTGCTACTACTACTACTACTTCTACTACTACTACTACTCCTACTACTACTACTCCTACTACTCCTACTCCTACTCTTACTCCTACTCCTATCCTACTCCTACTCCTACCAATCCTACCACTCCTACTATACTACTACTACGACGACGACGACGACCACGACGACTACGACGACGACGACGATTACAACGATTACGACGACCACGACTACTACCCAGAACTTCCATTCCTCCTTATTTAATTTAAGGAGTTTTTTTAAAAGGAATTCCACCTTAATTAAGGAGGAATTCCCTTAATTAAGGAGGATTTTTTCCTTAATTAAGGAATTCCACCTTAATTAAGGAGGAATTCTCCTTAATTAAGGTGTTTTTTTTTGAAAATTCCTCCTTAATCTTTTTTTAAGGAGGATTTTTTTCACTGTTTTTAGATACATCTTTGACATCACCATTGCATCAAGACCAACCTTTGGAGGTTGCTTCAAGGAGATGCAAGATCTCCTTTTGGTGTTTTGATTTCCTGCATGTACTGTTTCTGCATCGCATCTGCAGTTGATTTCTCAAGATGAATAGAGTTGAGATCCAAAACATTAGCTAAAAAATTGTTTTATTGATTATTTTCTTTTATGATTTTTTTTTGAATATTTATGATTTTTAGGATATGATTTGAAAAAAATGGTGAAAAATGGATATGATTTTTTAGGTTTTTTTTTTAATATTTTTTTTTTATGTTTTTTTAAATGATTGTTTTATGATTTTGTTTATGATTTGTTTATGTTTTTTTGTTTTTTCACTTGTTCTTATGTTTTTTTAATGATTTTTTTATGATTCTTTGAAAATGATTTTTTCTAATGAAATTTTATGATATTTTTATGAAAATTTATGATTTTTTATGAAAAATATGTTTTTTTTAATGATTTTTTTTTTATGTTTTTTTAAAAAATGTTTTTTATGGGTTTTTATATTTTGAAGAATCTTATGATTTTCTTATGTTTTTTTTTCTAATTTTTATATTATTTTTTTAAATGTGCTTTAATATGTTTTGATTTTTTTGGTGT